TTGAAAACTCCACGTAACGCAGTTCTGTTCTGCCCACGTGGGGTCTTCACGAATCAAAAGTAGGTGATGACACTGGATAAGAGAGTGGTTGAGATTTGTTCTTCTCGTTGAATGTACCCAAAGAGGGGAAGAGAGAGAAACCTTGGGTAGTAAGACCTGTTAGCCTCTGAGTAGATGCTAAACAATAGCATCTGAGAAGACCTGAGCATAGTCATGCACGCTTCTTAAAAAAGACAATGACTACACCTCCTGTCCCTGGATCTGCAGTTACTGACTGGGATGTGAGAGAAACATGGAGTGGGACAGGCTGAGAGCTTCCTACCGAGGATGGCACAGAGCCATTCTCCTCCTTGAACCACTGGCTCCTCCATGTGTGCTTGGGATCAGGCTCTTTTCTTCCAGGCACATGTCACCTGGTTCAGATTTATCTTTATGTAATAGCAAATGTAGCAGCCTTTGGTACCATAGTGATGTAAACACTTGTAGTAAGCAGAGATGCCAGGAAAAAGAGAGGTTTGATTTAGGCTCATTTAGTAGTTAAGCTGTATAATGACATGCGTGTGTGTGCACGTGCGTGCATGTGTGTGCTTAATTTTCCAATGCAATACCTTTGGGAAGAATTGTCCAGGTAGAAGGCAGCACCATTTCCATAAAAGCATCCACAGTGAAGTGAGAAGCAGCAAAGAGAGGAAGGAAATCAATGATGGCATTTTCTGCAGCCCAGCAGGTACGTGGAGAATTGAAGTCAGCTGTGTTTTCCCTTTCTGGAGGATTTCTTAACAAGTACATTGTTACCCTACCGATGCAGACACATAGCTAGGGCCTTGATGCCGCCGTGTTTGCATTTGTATCAGGTCAGAGGGCGTGTATGGAAGGTACAGGAATCTGAGGTTATAGAAGGGACAGAATTTCTCTGAATTTGTACTAAAAGGCATAGGCACTTGAATATGTGAACAAGATAATTTGCCATGTCTTGGTACCACTGTCTGCTTCCTGGGAGAATATTTAGAATTCTGGAAAGCATACGATTCCTATGGGGCTGAGCACATTATTTATCACAAGTATTCACCTGGACTTATTCTACATTAGCCCATTCCTTTCCTTTCTGAGAAGAAACATTTTCTAGTCAAACGTCTTCTGGAACCTAGTCACTCCGCAGCAATGCAGGGAGGCAAGAAGAAGGGAGGGAAAGAAACAAGGAAGTGGAGAGGAAAGCCATTTGCACTCGTGCTGGTTAGGCATAGGCACTAGTTTAAAAAGGGACCAGGTGTATTATTCTATACAGTAAGAGTCACCAGAGCTAAAGATTGGATGAGTATTGAACAGCTGAAAAAAATCAATAGCTTGGAGAAGGGAAAAATCATTCAAGAAAAGTTTATGATGAGCAGGCAGGACTTTACAACCCCTCAGAAAACCTTCAGTCTTGAGCAATAGTCTTTAAAAAGTGGTCTTCAGAAGTCTTTAAAAGTGCTGGCTGTCCCATGCACATTTACCGACAAGGTAAAAAGTCATTAGAGATGACTCAGTGTGATCAGTGAGCTCACATTAGAAAGTCAGCTGGAGGGAATTCCGTACTGCCGTGGTCCTGATCTGACAGTTGAATCACCTCTTTAGGGAATGCTGAAAACATCTCTCTAACAAGTTAACAGGATGAACAAAATTGTTGACATGGTATTTATTCATAAGTTGAATGGGCAATCAATTCATTGCACTTCAATTGGTTCCATTTAATATACAAATTGTTTGTAGTACTATATGTAGAAAATATAGAAAATAGGAAAGTCAGATACACCGTTTAGTTCTGTTGCAACTCATGTATCAATACGTATTTATACTGATGCATTTAAAATAGGAAAAAATGACATTTGAAAGATATAGCCTTGAAAATTTTATTTTATGCAATTAGCTCTCTGCAGATAATAATTCTGAAATCTATGAGAGATCTAGCCAATGAAAGGCTTAAACTGGATGATGGATGCCACATGCAAACTACTTGCCAAATATCCCCCTGAGAAGAATGGCACTTAAATGGAATTCACTTAAAATACATTTTGACACACTCACCATGTAATGTCCTATTGTTTGATGCCAGGCGATTGACGAACACAAATATGCATTTGTTTGTTGTATTATGCATTTCAAAGAAGTTGATCCTAGTTCTTAGAGATAATTGGCTAATTAAAGCGACTCTCCACCACCACAAAGGTTTAGGAGGACTGAATGTGACTTATACACAAAAGGTTTTACCTTAGGAGGACTGAGTGTGACTTATACACAAAAGGTTTTACCTTAGGAGGACTGAGTGTGACTTATACACAAAGTGAAGGTATTGATGGTTAATCACATTAAAGGAACTAACTCAGGAACACGTAGATGTTTGCATTCAAATTTGAAAATGTACCTTTGCTATGGAGAGGCTTCTGGGATCAGAAAATTGCCTTAATAAAAAACAGATATTAGTAATTAAATAATGGCATTTTATTAACATGATACAGCAAAGAAACATTTTGGGGCCTCCTGTTTTGTTTTTTCAATGAGCATGCTGAAGGTGAACAGGAACCTTCTGGCTTTCCCCAGTCTTTTCTTCCTACTAATGTTTAACTAGTTAGCTTGGCAAACAGGGAAAGGCAGGGAACCCAAAGTCTTGGCAGCAAAAGAGGGGGAATCCCACTCCTCTCCTCGAATGTTTTTGCTGTGAAAGTGTTAGGAGGAACAGGAGAGAGACACCCACGTACATATCAAAGACCAGTTGCCACATCATCGCGTGATTTCACATGCACGGCCACTCCATTTGGGGCAAAGGTGAATGCACCGGATGACTAAGCCGAGTCGAGTCTCCCCAGAGAGCTGAGTCTTTCCAGAGGCCCCTTGAAAGAAAGGCATGGCTGTGCACTTCTGCAACATCCGACACTGTTACACTCTGATACACCCGGGCTGCCACGTCCTTCTTGGAAACCCCTACTTTTAGGGGGTTTTATCTCCTGGAAGAATTTCAAATTCAGTTGTACACATCTTAGACTATTTTGGAAAATCTCTATTTTCCAGAATTTGAGGCCAAAAAAAATCAGGAGGTGGTGGTGATGGAAAATTGTGGATACAAATGCTCTGAAGAAACTAGTTCTCAGGAGTCACTGTGCCAATCTTGTAAAGAGGAGGGATGGAGTCATCGGGCAGAGACTAAAGGCACTTTGGTAATGTTTCTACGATGTGGTATATAAGCACCTGTAGCCTAGATTTCAAGACGGCCTCCTCCTCCATCTTTATTTCCATAGGCATGGCAGTCTGGGTAGACTAGAGTAACAATCTACCTGGACTAACACAATAGGTCACATAGGTCTTGTCAGATGGCAGAGGCCATTCGTTCTGTGCACATGACGTAGGAACACACAACAGAAAGAGAAGGGGACATTTGCCTTGGAATCTCCCCTCGGAAGTTGTTGGAAAAGATGGTCCACTTCAAATCTACATTATTCTTCTATAGCCAAATTAATTGCTTTATTTTAGGGGGGTAAAAATATCATTACCCAGATTTTAAAACAAAGTGGGAGAAGTCCTATTGGCCATGCACTGGCATGGGAATAACAAGGAAACTAGAAAACCCTCACACGTTCCAGGCTGTCTTCACCTTCAAAACCAACCCAAACCCATGATCAGTATGTCATTTTCAACGCATAGTGACCCTGTAGGACAGAGTAGAAGCATTGCATAGGGGTTCCAAGGTTGTAATCTTTGTGGGTGTCAACTGCCACATCTTTTTCCCAGGGAACAGCTGATGGGCTCCATCCATTGGACTTTCCCTATGAGGTCTGAGAGATCACTCAGAATTATTGTCAGAAAACCTTAGAGCATACACAGCCTCCTGTGTTTTCTTTACATTTCTTGTTCACTTAGAAGAGACACCCACTCCCCACCCCAGCCCCCTGTGCAAATCCTAGTCACCCATTAAGACCCAAACCCAAAGTCTCGACCTCACTGGAGCAATCACGTCTACCCCAGTGTGAAGTTACCTGGCTTATTTTTGATCTTGAAACACACATTAAAAAAAATTAGATATCTCTGGTCAATTAATGACATTTGTTGATACACGGTGGGGATGAGTCAGAGTCGACTTGACGGCAGAGGTTCGGTTGCTTCTCCCTGTGCTGAGGCATTTCTCCTCGAAGTGTTGCCATGCCGTGTTTTGTCCCTTCAGCTGCATTCTAGAATCTCTGAAGGCAGGCACTATGTCCATATTTTCTTGTTGTTTTGTTGTGCCTTGTGCTCATATATTTTGCACATTGAACACATATTTCTTGCTCAGTCTGTAATAGAAATTTTGTAACACCAAGGCTGAAGATTTTTTGTTGATTTATAAAGTAACTGATGAAGTCTTATAGAGGTGGGGTCATTAGTGAACAAAGGCTTTTCTGCAACATTCGTAGTTACGTGGGTTTCTGGGACTGTCACTTTTGAAGGAGTAGGAAGTCTTGTCTTTCTCTCGAGGCTGGTGGTTTCAAACTGATGACCTTGAGGTTAGCAACCCTATGTGTAAACACTAAAATAAGTTCACTAGAAAATTTTTAAGTCCTAGAATAAAGCAAGAACTTATTAAATGTTGGAATAGTTTGAATGAAAGAAAAATAAAAAGTTAACACTGATCATTTAAACCCATTGCATTAGAATCCTATGAATTTACAAATAAAGGTTTAGATACATGTGAACGATTATAAATAGTTCAGTGTTCATTAATGATAATCTTTGACTCTTCCATGTCTTGCATTAGTTTTTTATGAAAAAATATATAAAATATGGAGTGTTATGTAACAGAATTCCACATGTTCTTTCTTTCCTAAAGGCAATATTTGATTGCTCTGAATATGGAAATGGATCTTGCCCTGAAAGTGAGCGGTCCC